TAAAAGTAGCAACTGATTTGATTAAAAATCAACACTGCAGTGTAAAAATTGTTTTTAAAAAATTGACTGTGAGTGAACACTACTAATTTTTGTTAAATATTTGTAAGGATATGTCAGTGCAGTAGGATGCCATAACAGACCCAAGAAAAAAATTTTGATGAAACTCTTTCCAAGAAATAAAAAACAGTAAGCTATTTGGAATTCTAAGTTAAATGATTTAGTTGTATACTGACAAACACAAGCTTTTTATGTGAAATAAGCATAAAAAATACAACTTTATGAATTTATTCTACAAATGATTTATTGAAAAATCCTAGAGTTTACATAATTGTTCATTGATTATTTAGGTACCCTTAGATGCTGATCATTGGGGGAAAAAATAAAGATGGCAGATTAAACTTAATGTAATTCCAACAATCTTTAACCATGCTACACCAAAACTAAAATAAAAAATAAAATAAGAGTTTTCCAATACCAAATGTAAATGACAATATCTATTATTAAAATGACAAATAATAAGACAAAAGTTTACTTTGACAAGATTTGAATGAAAAATTGAAAAAAATGAGAAAAAAAAGTCTTTATTCAAAAACAAAAACAAAAACACATTAGCAAGACAAGAATAAATGTTATGACACATTAGCAAGACAAGAATAAATGTTATGACACATTAGCAAGACAAGAATAAATGTTATGACACATTAGCAAGACAAGAATAAATGTTATGACACATTAGCAAGACAAGAATAAATGTTATGACACATTAGCAAGACAAGAATAAATGTTATGACACATTAGCAAGACAAGAATAAATGTTATGACACATTAGCAAGACAAGAATAAATGTTATGACACATTAGCAAGACAAGAATAAATGTTATTCAAAAATCATAAAAAGAGAATTAAACTTTTACTTAATGCTTGAGAAGATTAATTGTTATTTTTAAATAGAAAAATGATTAATTGTTATTTTTAAATAGAAAAATGATTAAATGTTATTTTTAAATAGAAAAATGATTAATTGTTATTTTTAAATAGAAAAATGATTAAATGTTATTTTTAAATAGAAAAATGATTAAATGTTATTTTTAAATAGAAAAATGATTAAATGTTATTTTTAAATAGAAAAATGATTAAATGTTATTTTTAAATAGAAAAATGATTAATTGTTATTTTTAAACAGAAAAATGATTAAATGTTATTTTTAAATAGAAAAATGATTAAATGTTATTTTTAAATAGAAAAATGATTAATTGTTATTTTTATATAGAATAAATGTGAATGTTTATAAACTGTTTAAATGATACAAAACATTTGAACTCAAATTTAATGTCGTCAAACTGCTTACAAAGGCATACCTTGTTTAAATCCATCAAAATTTAGGGTATTACCCTACACAAAAGATTAGAAAATCAAAAACAGCTTCAAAGTAGTATTTTAACAGAGGTTTATGAGTTTTAGCTATGTGGAGACCTTTTACTTTTACTGTTCTAAAAGTGATTATATTTCCAGTTCAAATTAACACTCATGTGTGCCACATTTATTAAAGAATATAAGAATATTTTTCTTATGTGAGAAGCATGTTTGCGACTAAGGTTCAAAAAAAATAAAGATTTGAAACACTTGAACAAGCTTGTAGACTTTGAAGAAGGTATGGGTTTGAGGTTTGCTTACATCTGCATTATGATATAAAGCAAATCAACAAAATGAAGTTCTACAAATTTGTATTTTTGAACCATGTTTCAAAAATGTGTTTTTTTTAAACTTGTTTTTGAGTGTTTTTTTTTTAACACTTCGATTTTGTTTAAACGAGGTGACTCTACGTACAAAATGTGGGCACACATAATTTTAATAATTTTCATAAATTTTCATAAATTTTACAGCGCTATGACTAAAAGATCTCCTTTTCTAAAAACACAAAACAAAATTAATTGTAAGTTGTGGATTAAAATTTGTTCAAAATGAAAAAAAAACTAATGCTATGCTCACAACTGCTTGGTTTGTAGGAATTATTGATAAATGGTATAATATAATGACATCATAAAACTCTGCAATGGCTCTTAGCTTAAAAAATCACAAAGTTTACTATGAAAGAACAAATATTTAAAATAAAATCATAGAGATATTGCTTTGATTAGGTGTATTAAGCCAAAGTGGAAAAAACAAGGTGGTAATGTCATAAGAAAATCAAAAGTTTGATTTTCTTATGACATTGCAATTGACCAAGGATTGCTTAGAAAATCTTTTTTATTTTGGTACATGCAAAACAAGTAATTCCTACAGTTCTTCAATTCAAAAACGACTTGAGTAAAATTTATTTGTGCTGCCTAATTTCTGAAAATATCATCAAAGGGCAGTTATGATTTGGATAACTGTCAATTTTTATTAGGTTTTCTTGACACAGTTAATAGAAAAAATTGCTGATTGTACTAAGTTTGTTACAGACAAAGAGCACAAAGTTAGAAGTTTATTTTTTGCTTATGGAAATACTTTTGTATTCTTTTTACAAATGAAATTTATACTTAGATCATTTAAGACCTTTTTTTCCCTAAAAAATGTAATCCTATGTTTGTAGAGAAAATCAATTCTTATGAAAAAAAAATTAAAGGTTTAGCCTTGTATCCTAATTGTCAAATTGAGAACAGCTTTTTAAAATTCAGACTTTAAATATTTAGCTATAAAAAATTTGTTAATTATGTTAAAAGACAAGAAATAAAAAATAATACTTGTAAAAAATATTAAATTCTTGTAAATTCTTTGCAGCAAAGTATGGCAGTGCATTGTCATACTCTTGCTGAGTATCAAATGTAACATTACCAAGTAGGACACATGGTGTTCTGTTAGAAAAAAGGCATTATTTTTTTTTTTTTTTTTTACCTAATCCCATACAATTCAAGCTAAACAAAAAATTTCTATTGACTACCTGTAATTCCCTTCTTTATCTAATTGGCTAGTATAGGTTGAAATCTGATTAAAATGACAATTATTTAATCTTCTAAACTCATATAATAGTTTTTTTTTGAGTCTGTTTGGTAGTTGCTATGCAGCTCTACTGCTAATTTCTAATGAGAGTACAGATCTAAAACTCAGTTTATTTGTTGTGAGGTAAGTAAGATTTATGAACTCTTTAATAGCTCTCATAGAGGCTGATTCCAACAGTTGTAAAACATCAGAATATCAAGTGTTATGTGTTGTGCACGGAGTCCCACTTATTACATTGTTTAGATTACATAAGAAGCTCTTTGAAACAATTTTGAGTTGATTAGCAGGATTAAAGCAACTGTATAGCTTATTGCTGAAAGTGCCAGGTACTATTTTAGGTTTAGTAGAGTTCTCTAATTTGAAACATTACTAATTCTCTACATTTTTTTTCTACAAATTCTGCAAATTTTTCTGATTTGAAGCATAACTAAACCATCTTGAAATATTAAACATAAAAACCCATTTAGCAACTTGTATCACTATTTTATTACTAAATTATATCATTTGCAAATGATCTTCAAAGTAACCTTTTATCCATTGAGTCTTGTAAAGTTTACTGGACCTAGTTTTTTTTTTGTAAAACTAATTAAATTAAGCTTCATTTGTAGATATTAGAGTGGATTTGCATTATCCTTCTCACAAAGGTTCCAGTGCTTAGACTCACAAAGGTTCCAGTGCTTAGACTCACAAAGGTTCCAGTGCTTAGACTAACAAAGATTCCAGTGCTTAGACTCACAAAGGTTTCAGTGCTTACACTCACAAAGATTCCAGTGCTTAGACTAGGCAATTACTTACATATCGTTTCACCTATTCATTGTGAAATCATGTTTAAATCCACTTTTCTTTGCGATTTTCTTGTTCTTTACTGTTTTCTTTTTTTTCTTTTCAAGACTTCACTTTTTTGATATTATTTGCAATTAAACTGGCTTTTTTCAAATTTATATATTAAATCCATTGACAGCATTCTTTATGTCATCATCCCAAAGAAACAGGTAAATTCATTGTTAAACATCCTAATCACTTCAGATTACATTGCTAACAATATTTACTTAAACTCTCCTTTAGCTTGTATTTAAACAACATTTTCTGACAACATCTATGTGTTCTCTAGTACATTATTCAATATGGGGTTTGATAGTTTTTTAAAACTGGTTTTTATATATTTGACACATTCCAAAACTGGTTTTTTAAATTGCAAAAACTGGTTTTAATATAAAGGCTATAATAACGACAGAATTTACCGATACGCCAACGAGGACATGGTCAAGAGCCTAATGATTTTGGGGGCCACGAATTTGGTTTCAGAAATGTTTTAATTTGCTAGGGTATATAGTTATTATTAAAAATGATTGTAATCATGATTGTAATAATTGCTACACAACAATTCCACTTTTTTTTAATGTTTTGTAAAGTACTCTTTGCAAAATCATTACCGCAATATAATTTGCTTCGAGATTAATTCCATTTGAAGGATTTCTAGATTGAATGTATACAGAAACCCTGATATTTAGATAAATAGGCAAAAAACAAACAGTTCTAAACTATATAAACTGTATCATAGTTTTTAATTCATAATAACTTTGAAAAATATTTTTGAGGGCTTCGAAAATTGATTCGGCTTAGGGTCCCTGAGAGTGAAGTTTTTTAAAATCTTATTTCCTTAGGAAAATAATGAAATAAATAAAAATATTGATCCTAATTTAAAATTTTAATTTAATTTTATTACTCAATCAGTCTTATTATGAGCTGGGTCTTTGAGTTTAAACTATTTTAGTATGATGTTAGAGTGCCACTTTAATACTTAGAGTATGGTTTTATGTTTGTGTGTATACACATATTATATATCTATGTGTAAATGTATATATATGTATGTATATATATATATATATATATATATATATATATATATATATATATATATATATATATATAAAATGACTATTTATATTTAATGTGATTTCTGTAATTTATTTTGTCTAAATAAGGAAATAATTATATATGAATATGTATTTTTTAAGATGGGTGATTATATATCCTTCATATATAAACAGTTGTCGAACAAAAGAGGAAGGAAGAAAAATTGCAAAATCAAAAGTAAATTTTTTTTATTGTTGCACTTAAAAGTTTAATTATCGTTTCATAAAGATTTTTGAAAAGTATATAATATATAAATTTTTCTGTTCCTAATTTACATTTAGAACCTGAATAAATAAAGTAGTTAATAATTAAGTAATTAAGTCTTAAATATGATGTGGCTAAAAATACAGTTTTAAATTGCTTTTTGGAGCTCTTCGCTTTAATTCTACACACACTTTTGCATGCCAAATACAAGGTAGGGTGGGAATAAATTAGGTAGGGGGAGGGTAATCTAAATCTAATGAATAGGGGGGGGGAGGGCTTAATAAAAAAGAGGGGGTAATTTTTTATTCTATTGTGTCTTTGTGTCTTGCTATCCAATGCACATTTTTCAGCTGTTTTTTCATAGTTTTACTAGGATTTCATATGCTTATGTAATCAGCAAAAATTCATTTTTAAAAAATCAATATTTATGAGATTTTTCTTTAGTCTTTTTATAGTATTTCTTTTTATAGTTTTAAAATATGGTTACATTGAAAGTTTTAATTTTAATCAGTAACTAATTTTTTTTTTTTTTTGAGTTTTACAGTTGTAAGATCTACTTTTTTTGTTAAAAAGTAAAAATTAATAAGAGTAATATGTGTTTAGTGGTCTTAAAAAGCATGTGGTGGGTGTGAAAAGCATGTGGTGGGTGTGAAAAGCATGTGGTGGGTGTGAAATATTTTCTGAAAATTAGTAAACATCACATGAGCTTTTCCTAAAGCTTTTGCTTGTAATATTTACATTTTTAGTTTTTTCTTGTTTTAAGAGCTTTAAAAGAGAATTTCCAAAACATCAATTTTTTTCACTTTATATAATTAGTAAAACTCCATTGTGCATAAAGATGTTCTCATCATAATTGAAGAACAACTGTAAAAGTTGTAGTAATTTTCAGTTTGCATGTTGATAAAATCATTTCAAATGAAAACCATCTAAATTTACAAAATATTTTTTAATACATAAAAAATTGAAGAATTTGACAGTATTGATCTTGAAGCAGTCTTTGACAATTTGAAGTTGCCCATTCCCCTGGAAATATTTATTATTGACTACACCATGGCAAACGTGGGGTGTTTGATGTGGGGTGTTTGACTTTTTTGGTACAATGCTGTATAGGCAAACATTTTCACTTACTCTTCTTCTATTAATGCTTGATTTCCATCATAATTAATATCCGTCATAATTAGGAAAACTGATTCTGAAAAATTCCCTATTGAATAATAAATAATAGAATCAACCTCAAAAATGTCAGTATGGATTTTACAGTATATCATTTTTAATTACTCTTTTCTGGTAAAGTTTTTTTTTTTTCTTTCCTTCTCTAAGCATTTTTTAACCATAATTAGTGTTTAGTTTAGGTTTTTGAGCTTTTCAGTAAGTATATATGTAAATATAAATATATAATATATATTTATATCAACATATATACTTACTGAAAAGCTCATATATATATAAATATATATATATATATATATATATATATATATATATATATATATATATATATATATATATATATATATATATATATATATATATATATATATATATATATATATATATATATATATATATATATATATGTATATATATATATATATATATATATATATATATATATATATATATATATATATATATATATATATATATATATATATATATATATATATATATATATTAGGGATATGACTTTTAAAAAAAAAAAAGTTTTTACGCATAAAATGCGAAAATATTAATACTTTCACGATGCTCAAAAAAAATGTCACGCCCCAAAGCACATTAAGGTTTAAAAAGGTTTTAAAAAAATTAATGACCAAAATCGTTTCTATTTGCAAACATGTTCATTCATATGATTCTATAAAAAAACATAATTTATTCTAACAATTAATACATGGCATAGTGTTATATTCAATGCAGAAAAAAACATTTTATACAATTTAAATACATACAGTTATTGTATATTAGGCAAAATGAAACGAAGTGGAAGATTGTCTTTATTTCTGCACAATCTATAAAGCTCCTTCATTACTTTAATTGCTCTTTCAGCACATTGATTACTTCTGGGAATGTTGATTGCTGATGATTCTGGATTCCAATGACTTGTAAATGTAGCAAGAGGTTTCTTTTTGTTTAATAAAACTTCATGAAGGTCTGAATAAGTGTTTTCTTTATAGGTTTGGTCGTCAAACCAAAAGTCTGCCCACTTGTAAGAAATAAAGGTACATACAGATTCAAGTTTGTTTCTTGTTTTTGGCATAAGAATGTAGGCTAACAACGCTAAAATGTTTGGTGAGTTCGGATTTTCTCCCAATTTTTCATCCATTTCTAGTCTAAGTATTCTATCCAAGATATGATGTTGACATGGTACAAATTGAGGTTTTTGTAATCCTTTTTTTTGAAAAATGTCCTGAAGTTTTACAACAACACCATTTTTCTTTTTGGTATTGACATTTGTATTATCTGTCACAATCATTTTAATTGAATTCCATAGTTTAAATTCATCTATAATATCAGCTATGGCATTAATAATAGTGATAGATTTTATATCTATTAACTTCAGTGCGCCCAACTTTATTTTGCTTCTTTCATTTTTAAGAACGACAACCTGATACTCCCATTGGTCTATATGCTTTCCATCGAAGTGTAGACTCCAATTCTCATTCTTTAAATCTTGAATTAAAGTTTCTTTAATTTGTTTTGCTTCATTAAAAAGAGCCTTGTGTATTCCAGACTGTGATGGCGCTGGAACATGTATGCCTTCTGAGGACAGTATTTTACCTATTTTAGAAGCTTTCTTAGTTGATACCTTAGCACAAACCACTAACTTTGTTGCTATTTTACAACTACTATATTTTTTACGTCTTTTCTTCAAATTATTATATTCTTCATCTGTAATTTCATTATCTATCTCAAATTGTTCATCAGTTTCTTCAAATTCGGAACTAGAGTTGTCTCTTTCTATTTTACTACTTTCAGTAAATGAAGAAAAATTTTTAGATGCTGAAGGTTGGCTGGAAAGTTTTTGCACAATTGATGGATGAATAGTCTTCTTTCCTGCCAGCGTTAAAGCAGCATATCCAATTTCTCCTTTGCTTTGTAACTGAATTTCATAAAATCTTTTATCTTCAGATGATAACCAAATGCCATTTTGATTTGTTATATCAAAAATCTCTTTTTGCAGAAGGTCGGCATTCCCTTTTTTTCTGAGACTTTCATATTTTTCTATAACATCATTAATCTTTCGCTTCACTGACTGCTCTGTCAGACATGGGAAATTTAATTGTTCTTTCCACAAACTTATAACTTCTTCTGAAATAAGATCTATCCTTTGCTTTTTGGCTTTCACATCAGTACTAGACAAATACTTAAACCTGCTAACAATATCACTTTTTAATGGCATTTTGGAATATTCTTGAAAAGATGTTTCTAACATTGGAAACTGTCTACTTTTATGCGAATCTTGAAATTTCACAAGATTTTTTTTATAAGTCTCTTTATTTTTTTCAACACTTGATTAGCAGTATTTGTATGCCATTTTAATTAAAAGCAGCACTAAAAAATCTGAAACTAATTAATAAACAATTAGGCACGGCAGTGAAAAACTAGAAATTATAAAGTGGTAATGCATACGTCTGGTATGTATTTAAAATTATATATATAATATATATTAACCGTCTATATATAATTTATTATATATAATATAATAATATAATATACTAAAATATATATAGAGGGTTATGACTTCTTCAACTTACGTTTTCTGGCCCATATGTAATATGTATAGTATATTATATTCCAATCTATATTGTATTAAAAAACATTTCAGCTGAGGGGCGTGATATTTTTTTACACTTGAAGGAAAATAAACATTTCTTCATTGTTTTATAGCAAAAACTCATCCAAAAATAATATGGGGTTGTCCAAATTCTATAAAAAGTTAAAAAAGTCATATCCCTGATATATATATATATATATATATATATATATATATATATATATATATATATATATATATATATATATATATATATATATATATACATTATTTTAGTTATTAATGGCATTTTCAAACAATCGATCCAAATAGAATTTACATTTCATTAACTATATAATTGCGTCATTAAAATATTGGAAGGTTTTTTATCTATACCGGGTTGTGCACATTTTATTATTTTAGTTAACTGGTGCTATTTTAAAAACGCACAAATTTGTTATGAAATTAAAAAAACCTGGTTTTTAACACAATAGCATTAATACACAGGAATTTGTTAGATGCTTTTGATCTCATACAGTTCACCCACTTCAAGCCCTGGCTATTTAAAAGAGGTTTGTACAATATTAGCTAAGTTTCTTGGCCGACCTATATTTTTGTTAACCTCCTGCCATCATTTTGAAGAACTTCATATAGACATAGCAGTAAAAAAAATTGTTAACCCAGAGAATAAACTATTTATATCATAAAATCATAAAAGGTAAAGATAAAACTATTTCACTTTAAAATACTATTTGAAAAAGCAAAATGTAAAAGTTTCTAATTTTAAATTTATTTAAATTTAGACTTTCGAGAAGTGCAGAGATTATTGTAAGCTTGCGGAAAAAAATCAGACCATCAAATAAAAATTAAAAAATATGGAGTTGTTTCACACTCCTTGAATTTCATGAAATTTAGGTTGCATTTCTCTAAAATCAGGTTTTTATTCTAAGTAATAAAATATTCAAAGAGATTATATAATGGCTGACTAAATTTCTCTCTTCAGGGAATCACGGTTTTTGATCTGCAGCATTTCTGCTTCTGCAATTTTTAAAACTTACTTTCATAAGTTTTAATATTTTAGTCTTATTATTTAAGAATAATTAATGTCATAAAGTAACAAATTGTTTAAAAATAATGGCTTGAAAAATGCTTTAAAATCAGATATAAAATACGAAAAAAATAACTCTAAACTAATTTTTTTTCTAATGACAGACTTTTCTCAGTAGAAATATAATAAAAATGAAATCAATAGAAGTAGCACTTTGATTTTATCTTGTCAAAATTAAATAAAAAAAGTGTTTAAAAGTGTCATTTTAAACCTTATTTTATCTACATTGCATTATTTTTAATTTACAGATCTCTTGTTTCTGAAGCAAATTTGCTTCAGAAACAAGAGATCTTGTGGCGGTGATAATGTCGAATGATGATGCTTTTTAAAAAGTTGCAATAATTGGAGGCTGGCAACAAATAAGCTATAAAATTGTATCATTCCTGCCCTAAGCGTGAGAGCAACAAGTTGATGAAATAATTTTTTTTGCCATTCTTAACTAAATTTATATTCATTGATAAATTTTAAGTTTTACAATCTCTAAGCATTCAAAAGTTATGCGCATATAAAAATTTTAACCCCCTCAAATTAGGGGGTTAACTTTATATGCTGATAATTTATGAACGCTGAGAGATAATATTAAACATAAAGAGAGATAATATTAAACATAAAGAGAGATAATATGAAACATAAAGTTTATTGATGAATATAAACTTAGTTAAAAATAGCAAAAAAAAATTATTCTATTAACTTGTTGCTCTCGCGTTTAAGGCAGGGGGATGAAATTTTAGGGCTTTTTTGTTCCCGGCTTCTAATTGTCACAATATTTATCAAAATCTATTCGCCCTAATGCTTGAAAATTAAAAAAGGTATGGTAAAGTTATCACATTTATAAATTTGTGCATATGTTATTTAATTGACCCATATATCAGTTGAAAGTTTAGACAATTAGCTTGTTGGATTGTAGAAAAAATCTTTTTTTAGATATGGTATTAGATATGAACTTTGGATCTGCATTTGTTAATAGTTTTTCAAATATGATTAGCATTATAATAATATTTAGGCTGTTGAAAACCCGAAAGCTGCAGAAATTAGAGATGTTTTACAATATCATAATTTTAACACTCTTCTTGAAGAGGTAAATTAGTTTTTCTTATTCTTTTTATTTTTAACTAATTGTTAGCTGTAACACAATATTGTATTTGTGTTGATAATGTATAACATTTTAATGTATATGTTATGTCTTTATGCTAGCTGTTATGTTAACTTCTCTTTTAATTGACTGTTGTACTATATTGTATTTATTTTGGCTGTGATGTCCATTGTACTTTACAAATTAAAATTTGTTAATTGTTTTTCAAGAATAAGCAATATCCGCGAGACAGTTTCAAAGATGCACTTTGTAAGGGACGAGTAAAAGTTCAAATTAAACAAGCTGATGGTACTCCTGTTAGTTTACAATATCCGACTCGTAAGAAATGTAGTTTTATTGGAATTTTGTTCATGCATAGGACAGTATAACAAATAATTTTTGCTTTTTCTATGCAAATCTTTTTTCTAATTTTTTTTTTCATACTTTTTAACAGGCAAAGCGCTAATGCTGTTACTTGCAGAAATGATCCCTAAGCTGAAAGGTAGACAGCTGAAAGGTGCATCAGCAGAGACAGCTGGGTCTACCACTAACAGTAAAAAGAAAACCAAGAAAAAATAATTTTTAAAATAGATTTGAATTAGATAGATTATAAAATAAATAAAAATTAATAGTTTTTACTTCAATATTCATTGCCCTATTGGTCAAATTAAAAATAGTTTTAATTGAACTAGTTTTTGAAAATTTATTTAAGTTTAAAAAATTTATTTAAAAAATCTTTTAAAAATCTTTTAGTAACGAATTTTAAAATTCTTTTTTAATATTGCTACTTTGACTCTCAGGTTGTTAGTCAACTTTTTTTTTTTCTGTAAACTAACAGTAAATATTTATTTTCCCATATCGGTCACACTGGAGCATAGAGGTCATCAGGTTATAAAATTATGTTTATCGTGAATATGTCCCGTTTTCACTAATAAAATTATCTTCAGAGATTTGGCCTTTAGAAATAAATTCAATTTTTTTATTTTTAGTTATAGAATTATATTTTGCCCTATTAGAATTTACAAACTAAATTTTTATAGGCAGGTTAAGGTGGCTCATATGTTAAAAAAAATTTCTTCATTTTAATTAAAAATACTTCCAACCAACTTTAAATAGAAAGAATATTTTATACAATTGCGTTAAAATAAATCATAAAAAAATAATAGCAAGTAAATTGGATGGTTAAGCGCCAAACCTGAAAAAAAAGTTGAAAAAAATGAGTTTATATTAAAAAAAGATTTATGTAGCGTTTTTTTGCTAACAACAATATACTATGATTAAAACTTGTAAGTGCACTTAACTGCAAATACTTTTAAATTTTTCGGTTTAGTGGCTTTTGTTGAAGACTTTTAAACTTGGCGTCTAATTACTAGGCAGGTTTGGTGTTTAACCAACTAATGATCCGCACACTATTAAAGTGTTTTAATTCCTAAAATAATAAACACAAAAATATATTTAAAACGTTTTTATTTTGAATTATTTAATACCTTTTTACCTTTTATTTATTCAGTGCCTAGTTAACTGTTGCAATATATTATGTTTATTTTTTTATACGTTATATATGATGTTTTATATGGTTTATGTATATGTGTTATATGTATTTATTATTATTATGTGTTATATTATTAACATGTTACTCCTAAAATAATGAAAAAAAATGTCATGATATCTTTATCTCGACGACACAAAGAGATTAGCAAAATCTTTTGATAGAAGCTTTTCTACCAAAAATGACTATTAAAACAGTTAAAACAAAAAAAATACACTTTTTATTTAAGATACAAAACTTGAAATATTATCGTGAGTTTTAAGTAATTCTGTTACAGTCTCTCGAGTAATTGTTGAGTAGCACACTCTAAAATTTTTCATGTTAATCGCTTTTATAGTTTTTAAAAAAATGTTTTATAAACAATCAATGATTTGATAATGATTTTAGATAAAATAAAAGTGTAGGAATCCCGAGGTATAATAAACTACACATTAGAAATTCTAAGATGCAAAATTTGAGAAACCCTTGTACTAACTTAACTAACTTATCAACATTTTTTTTTTTTTTTTCTAATGCACGTCTATTATACAACCACAAATTGGCGGTAATGATATACAAATATAAATATCATCAACATAAATTCAAAATATACCAAGAAAATAAAAATATAGTCGCATACAACTCCGAGACATGACTTTCTTTTCTCAACTACATTGTCTCAATCACAATTACTTTAAATCGACTTCTAGCCTATAATTGTTACACTGGATTTGAAACCAAGTATAAATATAATATAGTAGAAGACGACGTTTAATAAGTACATTTAAGTTCTTAATAAAATCTGAGGTTTATCCTGCTTTAATTAAATTAAACAACGTTATTGTATACGTTATAGCTGTAAATAATTACTTGAACTTTACCAACGTTATAGCTGTAAATAATTACTTGAACATTACCAGCTATAATATTTATAAATCGCTAAATTTTGTATTTTCAAAATAATTTTAACATATAATATGTAATAGAGCATATAACGGTTTCACAACAAAAATAACTTTTCACTTCAGCTTAAAGAGTATCTTTGACTGAATAGGCGATAATGAAAATAGTCAATCAAATAATTAATGATTTTATAAATAAATCAAAATGGCCTGTTGACAAATGTGTTTTTTACGTAGCTTCTTGAATTCAGGCTGACATGGAATCTTTTATTCCCTCTCGACAATTTCAAGTCGAGCCTAACTCTTCTCTAAGGTTTTCCTCTCATTGTGCTGCTGAAATTTCCGATCGCAATTATTACTTTCATATCTATCACCAAAACAATTTTCAAGAAAATAGACCTCTTTTTACTACTTCTAGAAACAATTGTAAAACAGTTTTGTCTAACGCCAAAGCTCGCTATACTCAATATCTCGTATTCCATCTCAAAAATAAGGTTTATACTTTCAAAACTATTTAACAAGTGCTTATCAGAGTCTTGTTTTCCATCCTGCTGGATAGCGTTGTCTATTACCCTAATTTTTAAAAATTCTAAAGAGCGATCTGACTCGTCTAACTAACAACCGTCCCATTAGACTTCTTTCAATTATAAGCAAGGTTTTTGAGTCCTGAATTAAAAAAGGTTAATCTCTCATCTTGAATCTAATGTCCTACTTTCTGATTGTCAATATAGGTTTCAATTTTCTCGTTTTATCGCGGACTTGTTAACGGTAATAACTGATAGGTTTTATTGTGCACTAGATAGATGTGGCTATCGCTCTCAACATTTCTATAGCTTTTGAAATAGTTTGGCATGCTGGTCTTCTCCATAAGCTCTCTTCTTGCGGTGTGTCAGGTAGCATCTTTAAGATGTTTGAATCCTTCCTAAACAATCTAAGTATAAAATTTGTCCTAGATAGGCAGAATTCTTCTTCATATCCTGTAACTTCAAGGGCTACTCAAGGTTCTATCCTTGACCCTGTATTTTTTGGATTTGCAATAACGATCTTCCAAAAATTATCGCATCTAAGGTGGAATTGCTTGCTAATGATACTATCTTTTATTTTTGTTTTGGTAGAGAAAAATAGATGGCAGTATTCTCCTAGCAATTAGAGAAGCCAACATTCCCTAATTTCTTGAAGGAGAATTTTGAGCTTAAAAAGGATCTTAATTATGTAACAGCATAGAGCTCTTAGTGGATGGTGAACTTTAACTTATTGTAAAAATTTAGATCTTCCTATATATATGAACGGTAATGAACTCGATGAGTCATCTACCCTTTATCTTTTAGAATAAAGTCTTACTTTCAATCTTTCTTGGAAACCATATATCAAATTGATTGCGAAATTTGTATCTGCTAAGGTTTAGATAAGATACAAAAACGCATGATAAACATAGTTGGATCTAATCGTGCAGCCAACCGCCAATCATTATCACATCGTCGTAATGTTGCTTTTTTTTCTCTTTTCTATAAATACTATAATGGGCGCTGCTCTGAAGAGCTAGCGTCTCTTGTGCCATCTACTAAAATTCATTTTCGTCATTCAGTTAAGTCTCTTCCTTTTACTGTTTCTGTTCCTTAGTGCTCCAAAATTTCTTATTTATATTGTTTTTTTCCTCGAACATCGGTCCTTTGCTTCCTTTATCTTGTTTTCCTTATTCATATAATTTGCAAAATCAATTCATATATTGCATTGATTTTTTAATGCCGAAATTCATCTATATTTATTGCTAACTTCCTTTTTAATAGGAAAAAATGGTAGTTTACACTTAACAATTAGCGTTGTTAAATCAAGAGAAAATTGTAAAATTCAGTAATTATTAACTAGTTTTTATAATTATAATTTGTAACTATTTTAATTGCTTTTCCTTTTTGGAAATGGGGGCGCAAATTATGTTTAGCCTCGAGCGCCATTTTTGCATGCTCCGATACTAAACGTCAATCCGCGAAGCAAATAACAGAGTATCATATTTACTATTTATAATTATAACAAAAAAATCAACAAAATAGCGCAAAAAAAATACTTTTCACGTAGGGTTTTCTAAGATATTTATAATTTCTTCTAAGATATTTCTTTCTAAGATATTTATAATTATTTATAACACCTAAGCGAAAATGCGAATTAAAGACACCAATTATACAAAATTGATAATATTTATTGCTTATCATTTAGTCTAACTATTCAGTCAAAAACCCCCAAAAATAATTTTTATATATCTTAATATAAAATAAAAACTTAGCAAAAATAAAATCATTGGTGTTCGGAATTATCCAATGTACGTGGGGTAATTCCGAACACACTTTAGTGCGGCCGTGGCGCAGTGGTAAGAGCGCTTGCTTTATAAGCAGGAGGTCCAGGTTCAAAACGAGCTTTGGACGTATTTTGCGTCACAGTAAGGAAGGAGGTGTGAACTTCCTGGTTAAATGCACTTCCGCGGTGCTCTGTGACAAGACCGTAAGGACTTCTTGGGGCACCTAAATAACAAAATAAAAAAATAAAAAACTTTGGGGTAATCACAAACCATGTAGTGTAATAACGAATAAAATGCTAATTTTAATAACTAAGTACAGAAACCACAGACAAAACCACAGGATATGCTCGCCTCCACAAGGGCTTACAATTGTAATACATAATCTAGTTTTTCATGGGTAGATAAAACTATATTTTTTTCAGATAATTGTTATTGCAAAAATCTAGATTCTCCTATATTTATGAATGGTAATGTACTCGATGAGTCATCTGACCTTTATCTTCCAGTCTTCTGTGTGTGGAACTTTTTTTCTCAAATTAAAGAAAAATGTTTTGACTTTTTTACTTTACATGATGGTGCATAATAAGCCTCTAATAGATTAATTTTCTTCTTTTTTATCTTTTTAATTTTACCAGTACTATTTTTTAATCATTCTTACTTTTCTTTTGCTCTAAAATATTTTTTATTAACGAACTAGTAGTAATAGAAAAATGTTTTTTTCTTAAACATTCTCTGGTTTTCACTCTATTATATTAAAAACTCCTCGATTATGGCACTATGCAGCAACAATAACAAAAGGAGTGGTTTTATTTTCATAGTAGCTACAACATGAATGTTTCTCAAGCAAAAAATTAAATGAAATTAACATAAAAAAGTTTGGATCATTTTATTTGGAACAACGAGCG